TTAGCGAATGGGCGTCAACTATGGATATGGCCAGCAATGCAGTAGGGGCAAACTGGAACAATAAGCAACTTCAAGAATATTATGCTCATACCCTTAGAGGAAATACCAAAAGATGGTTTAATGCCTATAAAACCACAGCTGAATATATCACATGGAAACAGTCTATAAGACTAAGCAGAAGTGCAACACATTTTGCTACAATCTTTTACAAAGAATTTTGTGGAGATATTAATGATCAAGGATCAAAAGAAATAACCCAAGCTCAGAAAAACTTGACCAATCTCTCAATCTATAATCTTAGATACTTTGAAGAGTATGCTAATGAATTTTCCAAATACTTTTACATAATTGGAGATGTCAGAAATACAGGGTATTTACTAATGTTTGGTCAAAAGCTCCCAGCCCCCTGGAATGAACAAATCTTTAACAAAATAAATACCTCTCCTATCTCATTAGGAACTCTAGGAAAAGTTATATCCTTTTGTAGAGACTACTTCAAGGATGTTTGCATCAAAAATAAATTAGCTAAGCACGCTAAAAAACAGATGAAAGGAGCAGAAGGATTTTGCTATGGAATCTCTGATATGCCAAACCAATGGGGGCTATCACGAGAAAAAACCTAGAAAAAAGAAAACTTACAAAAAATTCTATAAGAAACCTTGGAAAAAATATAAGCTTAGAAAATCCAAAAGCTTTGACAGACAAAAGGCAAGAAAACCTTTTAAAAGATATTTTAAAAGGAAAGCTTCAAAGAACTTCAGACCACAAAAATAAAACAAGAAAACTTGTAAATGTTGAAGAAATAGGACATTATGCTAATGAATGCCCTAAGAAAAACAAGAACAAACGGGCTAAAATCATTTATGAAGAAATTTCAGAAATGATAGAAGAAGCCAATACAATGGGTCTTATACCACTTGAAGAAACTTCTGATAATGAAGATAATGAATCATTCTACTCTGTAGAAACAAAAAATTCTGAAACAGAAAGTGAAATCGTTCAGAAGAAGAAGCAATTGTTGAATTAAAAACTCCCAAACTCATCAGTTGGAGAGAACCATATACCCAAACTATCATACCTTCAGAAATAAGATTTGAAGTCAGAAAAGACATAAAATTTACTTGCGAATCTTGCAAATGTTTGGATAATGGAGTAATGTTATATTGCATCTTAAAGAATTTCACTTACCACCAAGAGTGTTTTATCTATGAATTAAGTAAAAATACTGAAAATGCTCAACTTGCTAACCTAGTCATAAATGAAGTACAAAAGTTTCAAGGGAATGAAGAAAACTGAATATAGGATCAAGAACCTGAAATCAAAGAATATCCCAGCAACTGCTCTATAACTATCTCAGAAGAGACAAAACCACTTTCAGAAAGTCTAGAAGAAGATGGCTCATCTTTTAAAGCTTTGAAAACATCACTCAATAGCACCTATATCAGCACTGAATGGAAATTCAAAGGTTATCAACCTTATCATTTGCTTGCATACATAGATAATGGTGCAGGTAAGTGTCTTGCTCTTTCAGGAGCAATTCCACAAAAAAAATGCAAAGAAAAACTTGGAAAGTACATCCAAGGAACCATTGTAGATGGCAGTACAGTAACCTTCAGTAAGTACGCTGAAGAAATACCCCTCAAAATTGGAGGAGGAAAATTTACCATAGATATTCTATGGCAATCAACTAGACATGGTTGTGATATTTTGCTAGGAAACAACTTCCTATTAAAATACCAACAGTTTTTCCAAAACAATGAAACTATCTCTCTCAGAGGAGAGGATGGACAGCTCTATCATATTTATAGAGTCAATGATGGATTTCTACCATCAAAACTAAAACATCAAAGTATCTCGCATGCGCAGCGTGGTGAGATAAAAGCAACAACTACAATCGTGATTCGGGTAAGAAATATCGAAACATTAGATGTTTCAGAAATACCAGAATTCACAAAGAAAAGGGAATGCTATACAGAATGGCATATACTTGAGAACGAATTTCTTGAACAAGTTCGCAATGCTCAAGAGAAACCAAAACTCAAAAGCCTTGAAGAACTTAAGTCTTTATTAAGAAATAACATAAGCTCTAATCCTATCCTACTTTGGGAAAAGGATAAAGCTAGATGTCATCTTGAATTAAAAGACCCTCATGCTATAGTACGGGTAAGACCCATGTACTACACCACAGAAGATGAAAAAGATTCAAACAACAATTGCAAGAGCAATTTCAACTAGGACTCATTCAAAAGTCTACTAGTCCTCATCCTAGCCGAGCTTTCTGTGTAAGAAATCACAACGAAACCTTAAGAGAAAAAGCTAGAATTGTGATTAATTATAAAAAGCTAAATGACTATACCAAGGCAGATGGCTATTACATTCCAAATGCTCAACAACTGATTAGTAAAACCAAAGGAGCAAAATGGCTCAGTAAATTTGACACCAAATCAGGCTTTTGGCAGATCAAACTCACTCTTGAATCCATACCATTAACAACATTCAGTACTCCCCAAGGACAGTATGAATGGCTGGTAATGCCGTTTGGATTAAAAAACGTGCCAAACATCTTTCAAAGACGAATGGATGAAATATTCAGAGATCTCTTCGAATTCTGCAGCGTATATATAGATGATATTCTTGTTTTCAGTAAAACAAAAGAAGAACACCTTATGCACCTAGAACAGGTCATAAACAAAATAATCTAGCATGGGATAATCTTAGGAGAAAAGAAGATTTTTCTTGAAAGAAACAAGATCGAGTTCATAGGTCTCGATATTGAAGACATGAAGCAACTACAAAGATTTCTTGGTTTTGTTAATTACATTCGAGATTTTGTACCTAACCTCTCTTCCCTTACAGGAATTCTACATACAAAACTCAAAAAAGGAAAGTGGTCCTTTAACCAAGAAGACGAAAAAAGAATCAAAAGAGTTAAGGAAGCTTGTGTCAAACTTCCAAGGCACTCTCTCCCTACTAAAAAGGATAAGATTATCCAAGAAACTGATGCGTCTGGCCAATATTGGGCAGGCATAGTCAAAAGTCTATCTCCAAATGAGATAAACAAAAAATTAGTAAAGTATCATTCTGGCAAATTTTGTGGTGCAGAGTTAAACTACTCTACTGTAGAAAAGGAAATTTTAGCCATAATGAAAACCATTCAAAGATCAGAAATCTTTCTAGATACTAAATTTTTAATTAGAACTGATAGCACGTATTTTGTCAAATTTTAAAACTATAATTTTGACAGGTCTCTATCTCGCGGAAGATTAATTCATTGGCAAAATTGGTTCTTCAATTACGACAGCGTAGAACATATCTCAGGTACGTGCAACCATCTTCTCGGCTCTCTTATGAGAGTAATGGCACCTAAAGAGTTAAAAGCAGTAAGGGAAGACTCCGCTCTTCTCTAATTGCCAAGAGGCTAAGACAGAGACGGCAGGTACTACCCTGTCCCAAATATCAAGAGATAAAATGGCAGGCACGACCTTGCTCCATCCATTAGAAATAGAACCAAGTTCTATAACTCTCAAGACTATTGAATCAAAACCTGAAAAACATGTTATACTGCAAAAAAGATCCTTTAAAGAAAGGATAAAAATAGGAGATCCATCCATTGGAATATTAGGCGAAAATTGCAACTTTCATGTTCAGTATGGGCAATCCACTGAAGAATATACCTTCAAAAAAATAGAAATATCAACTACCAATTGGGATCCCAAAACCATAGAAATATGGAACAGTGAATCTACAGAGGCAAAAACCATTGCCATTTCTGCAAAAACAGTCAAGAAAACTGAACAACCACAAGGCTATAGATCCGTCTATAGAACCAACAAAAAACTGGATTTTAATGATTATAAACTTTTAAACTGCTACCATGTAATTAATTACGATAAGGTTGATAAAAAGTCCTTTATGTTAACTTTGAAGGCCTTAGCCTCACGGCTAAGTGAAATCCATTGTTCAAAAATGGTTAAAAGACCAGTGGCTGAGACTGATAGTTCTATTCAAAATATCGGGATAGACCTCAAAAGATGGCGTATCTCTCTAGACACTATCCTAGAACAAAATTGGTATGAATTTCATACCCAGCTTGCCATGGCCTAATACTCTCAAAAGATGAAATAGTTCATCCCATGGCTTTTACCAATGCACTCTCTCTGCGGAACATCCCCAAGACCAGAAGCTCTGGTTATATGACAACGGGTTCATCAAGAACCTTTGGATCAATGACAACTCAGATCTCAACGGGCTACCCAATGTCCTTGTCAACACCCTAAGAAACCACCGTCCAGAAAACTGTCCACTCCGTCTGAAATTCATAACTATACCACATGAATGGATTCATGAAACCAATGAATTTCTACCAGTTTACCAATTTATCAGAATTCTCCAAAGCTCGGAGAGAAACCCTAGTGGACCTTCCCTTGTCCATATATCGAAATCTCAGGAGAACGACCTTCAAAAGCTTCGCGCCCAAGCTATCCGAAATTTCAAAGAAAAGCTCTGGGCCTGCAGAGACACTATTATGGCTGAAGGACGCCACACCATCATAGCCACTCCATATCAACATCCAGTTGATAAATCAAGGCTCTTCAAAAGAATCCAAGCTGGCGAAATAAACTCAAGCCTGAAGACCAACAAAATGCTCGAAGGAGAGTTGAAAGATAATTTTTGGGACACAGATATGACCATTTCAACCCCAGACAATCTATCGTATCAAGATGAAGAAATGGACGACATTCAGATAGCCAACCTGGACAACCAGATGGAATATTAACCATCCTAGGGTTTAGTCTTTAGTGTGACGATGCGGCCCAGAAAAGTGTACCCGACACTCTCTTTATTAAAAGTTTGGTTCCCTATGTTTGCTGAGTCCGAAAGGAATCTTATTCCTTTCTTCGGACGCAAGCTTTGCAATCCATTTTGTTTAGAAAACTTTGATGTCCGAGGCTTATAAAAGGCTTTCGAACCTCAGTTTTTTGTTGTCTTGTAAATAGGAATCTCTTTTATCTATAAAAATGTGACGATGGGGCTTAGAAAAGTGTATCCGACACTCTCTTTATTAGAACTTTGATTCCCTATATCTGCTGAGTCAGAAAGGAATTCGATTCTTTTCTTTGGATGCAAGCTTTGCAGTACATTTTGTTTTTGAAAACTTTGATGTCCAAGGCTTATAAAAGGCCCTCGAACCTCAGTTGTTAAGGAATCAGATATTGAGCTCTTCAGTCGCTACCCTACTTTCGGTGCCTCGTTGAGTCTCAAGTCCTGTAAGTCTTTGTTTTAAGCATGTGCGAGTAGTAGTTATGCGACTTTCTTTTAGAGTCCCTGAGTTATGATGTAAGACGGTTTATACCGATAGCTTCTTGTGCTCAGTTAGTAGATTGATGTTTAATGAAATGATTGTCTCTCATTTCTGCCCTACTTAAATGAAATTAGTTTTGCGAAAGGAGATCTTTAAAAATTCTATTTCACAAATCTGCCTTATTTCTGAAAACACTGATTTAAGAACTCTTTGTTATCTGTCTTTTTGTTCAAAACCCCGAAGACTATTAAGGCCGTAGTGATCAACTGGAGTATTTGTTGGGATGCTAGCTCAATCTTTGAGGCGAGTTCTTCGGTTCTAACCTTTGTAGGTTTAGGGTTGTTAGGGTCGAATTCAAGTGTCCTAACAATTCTTTCTATTTCTGTAGTTCGGTTGTCTAACCGATCTATAATTTGTTTAGCAGTTTCTTGATCCGATTTTTTAACTTGATTTAAAACTTTCTGAACAATTTGTGATATTCTTTCTTGTCCATCCTTTTTGAAGTTTCTAACTACTTCTTTTAGAGATAGAATTTCTTCTTTTAGATAGTCTAGATTGCTAGATATCTTTTCTAGAGAAACTTTGGTTCTTTCACGTTTACTTGAAAGTCGATCAAAACCTTCTTTGATTTCAAAGTTTGAGTCTTTTAACTGGTAAAATCTTTTGAGTTCGGAACATAGTTCTTTTTTCAAAAGTTTTTATTAGATCAAAGATAGTAGGTCTGTCTGGATCTAATCCTTGTATTCCTAGTTCTCTTTGGGTATGGAGAACTTCGCCGTAGATGCTATTAGATAACCCTATGACACTGGAAACTTTGTCTTTGTACTCGTCTTCAATGTGTCTGAAGTGAGTAAAGTTTTCAAATCCTTTAGATTTAGCAATACAGAAATCTTCAAATTTTTTGATTTTTGATTTTTTGTTACTAGACATTAAAGTAAAACTAACTATGCAAAATTCTTCAAGAAGAACATGACTCTGATACCATTTCGTTTGAACAGATCTTAAAGCAATAAACACAATAAAACTACTATTTATCAATTGAGTATTTTAGCATAAGAGAGATAACAAGCAAGGTATTAATTGAAGGCAATACTCTTTCTAGAGTATGAGTTAATAATAACAAGGCCCAACCAATCTTCCGCAACCAGTTTTCGATCTATTTTTAAATTGCAAGCTCTCCAGATCCCTTAAAAACTTCATTAGCATTTGCAAAACTCTTTCTTAGTTAAACTATTCACCACCGCCTTTATCTTAATCACAAAATGTGAAAGAAACAAAGTCTAATATCTTCTTGTTGTGACAACCTTAACAACTAATAAGGACTCATCTTTGAACAACCCAAAACGGCCTCCTGCCTACAGGGTTTGTTCTCACTACGACTTTAATAGTCTTCGGGGTTTTGGACAAAAAGCCAGATAACAAAGAGTTCTTAAATCAGTGTTTTAAAAAATAAGGCATATTTGTGAAATAGAATTTTTAAAGATCTCCTTTCGCAAAACTAATTTCATTTAAGTAGGGCAGAAATGAGAAACAAGCATTTCATTAAACATCCATCTACTAACTGAGCACAAGAAGCTATCGATATAAACCGTCTTACATCATAACTCAGGGACTCTAAAAGAGAGTCGCATGACTACTACTCACACATGCTTAAAACAAAGACTTACAGGACTTGAGACTCAACGAGGCACCGAAAGTTGCTTAGCTTTTCCCAAGTAGGGGAGTGACTGAAGAGCTCAAGATCTGATTCCTTAACAACTGAAGTTCGAGGGCCTTTTATAAACCTTGGACATCAAAGTTTCAAAAACAAAATGGACGACAAAGCTTGCATTCGAAAAAACAAAATCGGATGCCTTTCTGACTCTTTAGACATAGGGAATCAATGTTTTAATAAAGAGAGTGCCGAGTACACTTTTTTGGGCCCCATTACCACACTTTTCTAGATAAAAGAGATTTCTTTTTACAAGACAACAAAAACTAAAGACTAAAGCCTAAGATGGTTAATATTCCATCTGATTGTCCAGGTTGGCTATCTGGATGTCGTCCATTTCTTCATCTTGATACGATAGATTGTCTGGGGTTGAAATGGTCATATCTGTGTCCCAGAAATTATCTTTCAACTCTCCTTCGAGCATTTTGTAGGTCTTCAGCCTTGTGTTTATTTCGCCAGCTTGGATTCTTTTGAAGAGCCTTGATTTATCAACCTGATGTTGATATGGAGTGGCAATGATGGTGTGGCTTCCTTCAGATATGATAGTGTCTCTGCAGGCCCAGAGCTTAGGCACGAAGCTTTTGAAGGTCTTTCTCCTGAGATTTCAATATACGGACAAGGGAAGGTCCATTAGGGTTTTTCTCCGGGTTTTGGAGAATTCTGATAAACTGGTAAACTAGTAGGAATTTATTGGTTTCATGAATCCATTCAGGTGGTATAGTTATGAATTTCAGACGAAGGACAATTTTCTGGACGATGGTTTCTTAGGGTGTTGACAAGGATATTGGGTAGCCCTTTGAGATCTGAATTGTCAGCGGTCCAAAGGTTCTTGATGAACGTGTTTTCATATAACCAGAGCTTCTGGTCTTGGGGATGTTCAGCAGAGAGAGTGCATTGGTAAAAGGCGGGGGGTGAACTAATTCGTCTTTTGAGAGAATTAGGCCATTGGTGGTTTGGATTGGCAAGCTGTGTATGAAATTCATACCAATTTTGTTCTGGGATAGTGTCTGGAGGGATACGACATCTTTTGGGGTCTATCCCGATATTTTGAACAGAAGTATCAGTCTCAGCCACTGGTCTTTTAACCATTTTTGAACAATGGATTTCACTTAGCCGTGAGGCTAAGGCCTTCATAGTTAACATAAAGGACTTTTTATTAGCCATGTCATAATTAATTACATGGTAGCTGTTTAAAAGTTTTTAATCATTAAAATCCAGTTTTTTGTGGGTTTTATAGACGGATCTATAGCCTTGTGGTGGTTCCGTTTTCTTGACTGTTTTTGCAGAAATGGCAATGGTTTTTGCCTCTGTAGATTCACTGTTTCATATTTTGATGGTTTTGGGATCCCAAGTAGGAGTTGATATTTCTATTTTCTTGAAGGTATATTCTTCAGTAAATTGCCCATACTGAACATGAAAATTGCAATTTTCGCCTAATGTTCCAATGGATGGATCTCCCATTTTTATCCTTTCTTTAAAGGATCTTTTTTGCAGTATAACATGTTTTTCAGGTTTCGATTCAATAACTTTTGGAATTATAGAACTTGGTTCTATTTCTAATGGATGGAGCAAGATAGTGCCTGCCATTTTATCTCTTGATATTTGGGACAGGGTAGTACCTGCCGCCTCTGTTTCGAGGTTTTACCTTTGTCTTCGCCTCTTGGCGATTGGGGAAGGGCGGAGTCTTCTCTTACTGCTTTAGGTGCCATTTCTCTCGTAAGAGAATCGGGAAGATGGTTGCACGTACCTGAGATATGTTCTACTTTGTTCTCATAATTGGAGAACCAATTTTGCCAACGAATTTATCTTCTGCGAGATAGAGACCTGTCAAAATTATATTTTTTCAATTTGACAAAATACTTGTTGTCAGTTCTAATTAAAAATTTAGTATCTAGAAAGATCTCTGATCTTTGAATGGTTTTCATTCCGACTAAAATTTCCTTTTCCGCGGTAGAGTAGTTTAACTTTGCACCACAAAATTTGCCAGAATGATACTTTACAAATTTTTCGTCTATCTCATCTGGAGATAGACTTTTGACTATGCCTGCCCTATATTGGTTAGATGCGTCAGTTTCTAGGATAATCTTATCCTTTTCAATAGGGAGAGAGAGCCTTGGAAGTTTGACACCAGCTTCCTTAACTCTTTTGATTCTTTTTTCGTCTTCTTGGTTAAAGGACAACTTTCCTTTTTTGAGTTTTGTATGTAGAATTCCAGTAAGGGAAGAGAGGTTAGGTACAAAATCTAGAATGTAATTAACACAACCAAGAAATCTTTGTAGTTGCTGTCTTCCATTTTGTTGGGGAAATCAACGACTTTTGTTAGAACATGGGGTTGCATTGTGATTTCACCATTTTCAATATCGAGACCTAAGAACTTGATCTTGTTTCTTTCAAGAAAAATCTTCTTTTCTCCTAGGATAATCCCACGCCGGATTATCTTGTTTATGACCTATTCTAGGTGCATAAGGTGTTCTTCTTTTGTTTTACTAAAAACAAGAATATCATCTACATATATGCCGCAAAATTCGAAGAGATCTCCGAATATTTTATCCGTTCGTCTTTGAAAGATGTTTGGCGCATTTTTTAATCCAAACGGCATTACCAGCCATTCATACTGTCCTTGGGGAGTATGAATTCAGGAGTAAGTTTGATTTGCCAAAAGCTTGATTTGGCGTCAAATTTACTGAACCATTTTGCTCATTTGATTTTACTAATCAGTTGTTGAGCATTTGGAATGTAATAGTCATCTGACTTCGTATAGGCATTTAGCTTTTTATAATTGATCACAATTCTAGCTTTTCTTCTTAAGGTTTCGCTGTGATTTCTTACATAGAAAGCTGGGCTAGAATGAGGACTATTAGACTTTTGAATGAGTCCTAGTTGTAATTGCTCTTGCAATTGTTGTTTGAATTCTTTTTCATTTTCTGTGGTGTAGTACATGGGTCTTACCCGTACTATTGCATGAGGGTCTTTTAATACGAGATGACATCTAGTTTTATCCTTTTCCCAAAGTAGGATAGGATTAAAGCTTATGTTATTTCTTAATAAAGACTTAAGTTCTTCAAGGCTTTTGAGTTTTGGTTTCTCTTGAGCTTTGTGAACTTGTTCAGGAAATTCGTTCTCAAGTATACGTCATTCTGTATAGCATTCCCTTTACTTTGTGAATTCTGGTATTTCTGAAACTTTAAGTTTTCGATATTTCTTACCGGAATCGCGATTGTAGTTTTTGCTGTTATCTCACCACGCTGCGCATGCGAGATACTTTGATGTTTTAGTTTTGATGGTAGAAATCCATCATTGACTACAGAGAAGGCTTGTTTCAATCTAGAAATATAATAGTGCTGTCCATCCTCTCCTCTGCGAGAGATCGTTTCATTGTTTTGGATAAACTGTTGGTATTTTAATAGGAAGTTGTTTCCTAGCAAAATATCACAACCATGTCCAGTTGATTGCCATAGAATATATATGGTAAATTTCCCTCCTCCAATTTTGAGGGGTATTTCTTCAGCGTACTTACCGAAGGTTACTGTACTGCCATCTGCAGTGGTTCCTTGGATCTACTTTTCAAGTTTTTCTTTCCATTTTTCTTGTGGAATTGCTCCTGGAAGAGCAAGACACATACCTACACCATTATCTATGTATGCATGCAAATGATAAGGTTGATAACCTTTGAATTTCCATTCAGTGCTGATATAGGTGCTATTGGGTGATGTTTTCAAAGCTTTAGAAGAGTCATCTTCTTCTAGACTTTCTGAAAGTGGTTTTGTCTCTTCTGAGATAGTTATAGAGCAGTTGCTGGGATTTTCTTTGATTTCAAGTTCTTGATCCTTTATTGGGTTTTCTTCATTCCCTTGAAACTTTTGTACTTCATCTATGACTAGGTTTGCAAGATGAGCATTTCCAGTATGTTTTCTTACTTCATAGATAAAACACTCTTGGTGGTAAGTGAAATTCTTTAAGACGCAGTATAACATTATTCCATTATCCAAACATTTGCAAGTAACTTTTATATGTTTTCTGACATCAAATCTTATTTCTGAAGGTATGATACTTTGGGTATCTGGTTCTCTCCAATTGGTGAGTTTGAGAGTTTTTAATTTAACAATTTCTTCTTCTTCTGAACTGATTTCACTTTCTGTTTCAGAATTCTGTTTCTACGGAGTAGATTGATTCATTGTCTTCATTATCTGAAGTTTCTTCAAGTGGTATAAGACCCATTGTATTGGTTTCTTCTATCATTTCTGAACTTTCTTAATAAATGATTTTAGCCTGTTTGGTCTTGTTTTTCTTAGGGCATTCATTCGCATAACGTCCTATTTCTTCACATAACCAACATTTACAAGTTTTCTTGTTTTCTTTTTGTGGTCTGAAGTTCTTTGAAGCTTTCCTTTTAAAATATCTGTTTTCTTGCCTTTTGTCTGTCAAAGCTTTTGGATTTTCTAAACTTACGTTTTTTCCAAGGTTTCTTATGAAATTTTTTGTAAGTTTTCTTTTTTGTAAGTTTTTTCTCGTGATAGCCTCATTGGGTTGGCATATTAGAGATTCCATAGCAGAATCCTTCTGCTCCTTTCATCTGTGTTTTAGCTTGCCTAGCTAATTTATTTTTTATGCAAACATCCTTGAAGTAGTCCCTAAAAAAGGATACAATTTCTCCTAGAAGTTCTTAATGAGATTAGAGAGGTATTTATTTTGTTGAAGATTTATTCATTCCAGGGGGCTGGGAGCTTTTGAACAAACATTTGTAAATACCCTGTATTTCTGACATCTCCAATTATGTAAAAGTATTTGGAAAATTCATTACCATACTCTTCAAAGTATCTAATATTATAGATTGAGAGATTGGTCAAGTTTTTCTGAGCTTGGGTTATTTCTTTTGATCCTTGATCATTAATATCTCCTCAAAATTCTTTGTAAAAGATTGCAGCAAAATCTGTTGCACTTCTGCTTAGTCTTATAGACTGTTTCCATGTGATATATTCAGCTGTGTTTTTATAGGCATTAAACATCTTTTGGTATTTCCTCTAAGGGTATGAGCATAATATTCTTGAAGTTGCTCATTGTTCCAGTTTGCTCCTACTGCATTGCTGGCCATATCCATAGTTGATGCTCAGTCGCTAATGGCTTTTCTTTTGTCTAGGACATTGTCTAAATTTAGGTATGTCCCGCCTGAGGTTATTGGGGCTCCCCAATCCTTAGGTTTAGGAATATACTCCTTGCTCTAAGGTTCAGTAGGTTTTCCTGTGGGCATTCCCCTTGCCTTTGGGAATTTTTCTTCACCTTGTAGAATGGTGATGGGTTGGTTGATGTATGTTATTGGCGTTTGTGCAGAAGATTCACCTTGTTCCATAGGTTCCTTTCTTGGTCCAGGACCTCCAGTTACTTCACTTTGTTCTTCATCATTGACGGGTTTTATTTCTTCTTGTTGAGGTTCTAGCTGTTGTAATCTTTTAATCACGTAAGCTAGTCTTTCAGTATTGGTTGTGGTATAGAATTCTTTCTCTAATTCTTCAACCGTTTCATTGTCTTTTTCTCCTAAAGTTTGGAGTTTTTCTATTTCTCTCACCACATTTCCGTCTTGTGCACATATGTGGGAATTAATTTTGTCTATTAGGACATAATTTTTGCATTTCGAGCATTTTATTGATTCTAAAGTCTCTTTTAGAATCATATGAAATTTCTCATTGTCAAAGTCTTCTTCATTATGCCAAGTTCTCTCATTCTTCAAATGTACTACTTGTACTAAATCTGAAGGAAATGTTTCTTTTTGTATCTTGGTAGATACTGGAAATATTTTGAGATTCTTCTATTTTTCTCGAACCCTGTATTTTCCATCCTTCATGAAAAGTTAAATCTTTCCATTCAACAGTGCTTGGGATGAAGGTATGATTTCTCGGATGAGACTAAAGTAATGTTGTTACTCCGGGTATCTACCGAAGTTTGGTCTGAGGTGCGATCGTTGTTGTCATCAGTTTATAGTAGATCATATATTCAATGGTTAGGTCTCCATATTGCTCTTTAACATCAGTACCATGTGTTTGGACTTGAAGTTTAAGAGAGTTGGGAGCGTCGTCTAAGTAGACAGTGTAGTTTGGTAAAACATTGAAGTAAGCACACTGACTATTTAGGTCTGCTTGCACTGCCCCTAGTAGTGATTTTTCAAAGCTTCTCATTATGTTCTCTTAGGACGGCCATGACTGAGGCTCCTAAGTCTTTTCTAGCTAGAAGTGTGAAAGCTACCTGTACTGCTCCTATGTGAAGGAATTTGTAGCCTTCCCTTTTTGCCTTTAGGACACATTCTTTTGTTATTAGATTTATGTCTGTTTGTGCATCTAAAGCTGGTACAGACAATTCTAATCTTCTGAATCTGTGTTTAATGTTTAGTCCAAATCCTTCCCATTTCGTAGATTTGACTATATTTGAATTCTGGGATGACTTCATCTTTCAGAGTTTTTTCTATTTCAGAGAATTCAAATTCTTCTTCGTTTGCTATAGAAGGCAAAGATTTTGTTAATCCAAATCTTTCTAGCATTTTTAGATTTTCTTTTCTAGGAGGGTGCCATTTGTACTTAACAGGTTCACCAAACATTGGTGGAGGTATGGCAGAGGTACTAATGGTAGTATTTGGGGGAATCACTACCTTTTTAGCCACTTCTGAGGCTATCTTGTCTTCACTAATATCTTTTTCTCAAACTTTTTGTAACAAATTTGTTTGTTGTTTACTTGTTTCAACAATTTGTTTAGATAGTGTTTTAACTGCTGCGATCAAATAATTATTCTGGTGAATAATACTTGTGGTATCGCCTGTCATTTGTCCTTTAGGTTTTGTAAAACCTTCAAGGGCATCTGTATCTTCTGAAGAGAGGATATCAGATATTTCTTTATCTAATCTATCCATTAGATAACAGAATTGATCCTATCAACTATAGGTTTTACTGCAGTATTTGTTGGGATGCTCGCTCAATCTTTGAGGCGCGTTCTTCGGTTCTAACCTCTGTAGGTTTAGGGTTGTTAGGGTCGAATTCAAGAGTCCTAACAATTCTTTCTATTTCTGTAGTTTGGTTGTCTAACCGATCGATAATTTGTTTAGCAGTTTCTTGATCAGATTTTTGAACTTGATTTAAAACTTGCTGAACAATTTGTGATATTCTTTCTTCTCTATACTTTTTGAAGTTTCTAACTTCTTCTTTTAGAGATAGAATTTCTTCTTTTAGATAGTCTAGATTGTTAGATATATTTTCTAGAGAAACTTTGGTTCTTTCAAGTTTACTTGAATGTAGATCAAATCCTTCTTTGATTTCAAAGTTTGAGTCTTTTAACTCTGTTAAAATTTTTTGAGTTTGGAAAGCAGTTCTTTCTTCAAAAGTTTTTATTAGATCAAAGACAGTAGGTCTGTCTGGATCTAGTCCTTGTATTCCTAGTTCTCTTTGGGTATGGAGAACTTCGTCGTAGATGCTATTAGATAGCCCTATGACACTGGAAACTTTGTCTTTGTTCTCGTCTTCAACGTGTCTGAAGTGAGTAAAGTTTTCAAATCCTTTAGATTTAGCAACACAGAAATCTTCAAATTTTTTGATTTTTGATTTTTTGTTAATAGACATTAACATAAAACTAACTATGCAATAAGAGAAAACCCAGAAGAATCAGTTGCTATCAGAGCCTTGTTCTTCTTAGGAATTTAAATGTCTAGTAGTAAAAAATCTAAAAACACAGAATTTTGTGTAGTTAGCAAAAAGGATTTTAGTAAACATACTCACTCCAGACATATTGAAGACGAGTATAACAACTCTGTTGAAGACGAGTATAACAACTCTGTTGAAGACGAGTATAACAACTCTATTGAAGATGAGTATAACAACTCTATTGAAGACATTGTTGAGCGCACGACAGTCCAGGGAAACTTCTTCCTTCTCTCATGTTTGTTTGCATGTTGCCTTGTGCACCACTTATCCTTTGCATGCTGCCTTGTGCACCACTGGTACATTGCATGCTGCCTTGTATACCACTTGTCATTGTGTTTGCTGCCACCCCCTTAGTTTTTACCTATTTATACCACCTTCACACCTCTCCATGGGGTTTTGCTCTCTCTCTTCTCCTTGCCTTAAAAACTTACGATTGAAACCATACTTGGGGCTTGACATTGAACTGAACCTGTGCAGTGCACTTTGGATCTTCATTTAAGTGCAGTAAGTGAATCTAGTTTCCATGATTTTTTTGCCTTGATTAATGCATGTTAAATTAGTTTGTCAACTATGCAATTTGAGTGTGATTATTAATGGGATTGTGAAAATGGGTATGGAAATATGTTGCTGAAATTCTGCTAAGTATGTACTATGTTTCCAGAAATGTGACTCCCATTTGAGCAAATGTTTGAGCATTGAAAATATCTCTATTGATCATGAAATTTTGTGGGGAAGTACCCATTATAATTTAAGATGGAAAAGACCCCTTTGTATTTTAATATGGAAAAGACCTCATGTCAATACCTCTTTTGGTTGGGAAGTTATGAGCCATTTTTTGAAACATGCCAGAATTGTTCACCGATCAAATATGTCAGAGTGAGATACCACTTCTAAATGCAAGATGTATGAATCTATTTTGAAAATGGTCTTGGAGGAACCATAATCAAATTCTCTGTGATTCGAAAGTTATGTTCGTTTTTCTATAAGGATGCCACGCTAGATTTTCTGCTGAATTTTCAAAAACTATTACTTGGCTTTTGTGGCATTGTTCACTAAACCAAATATATCAGAATAACCTCAAACCACTTCTAAATGAAAGATGTATGAATCTATTTTAAAAATGGTTTTGGAAGCATAATCAAATTCTCGTTTGTTTGAAAGTTATGTCCGATTCTATTAAGATATCATCCTGTATTTTCTGCTGTGAAAGGCTAGAAGTTTCACTTAAGATCACCAATAGTTTGGCAAGCTTTAGGCCAATATTTGAGGTCATTCCCTATTTGAAAGTTGTGTGGCAAAACCAGAAGAATGGTATGATGATATTTGAGCTAATGAGCCTGGTGCTTGGTTCATGAGATGACATGATAATGTCTTTCAAACTAATAAGCATGATACTATGATTTTATGTGTGGCACACTGATGTTTTATGTGAGCATGAAAATATGCTGCTAATGAGAAATGTGTGCATGATAGTATGACATGCTCTGTTACGAACACGAATGCACGCTCTATTATGAATATGCATACATTCCCGGTTATGATAATAAGGTGTACTCTGTTATAATATGGAAGTATGCTCTGCTATGATTTGAATGCATGTAGTAGGACATGTTCAGTGATGATATGGATGCACATAGTACTATGGCATGCTCAATTATGAAAGGAATGCATGCCAATAAGGCATATTCTGTTATGAAATGAAAGAATGCTCTGTTATGATATGAAAGAATGCTCTGTTATGATATTAAAGAATGCTTCGTTGTGATATGAAAGAATGATAATGACATATGCTCTGTTATGATATAGAAGCATGTAGTAAGGCTAGTGTATCAAAAAGTGCTAGGCGGGTCCTAGGCGGCCTGGGGGGTCCAGACCGCTAAGCTCCTAGGCGAGCGTCTAGCGGGGCGCCTAGAACCCGGGCGGCTGCCAGTTGAAATTTGAAAAAAACTAAAAACCAGACCAAATTATTACCAATGTAATACTATATTACAAGTTAAAAAAAAGAAGAAGAGACGTTGAAAAGAGAATTTTGATAATCCATATTGTTAAAACAGTAAACTATAACACCATACAAGTGTAGGCAGGATATAAAAGTCAACACTCAACACAACAGAAATTTAGAAAATATACAGTATAACAAAAGTTAACACTCATGACTCAACACAATAGTCAACAGACTCAACACTCAGCACCAAGAGACAAGAGTCTTCAATCGTTGTCGTCATCATCATCATCATCATCAGAAGGAATATCAATAGGGCAAGCTTCATCATATGCATAAGAGTCGAGGTCATCATCATCAGAGTCATATCCCTCTTCAATATAACGCTCGTCCTCCTCTGTTTCTTCTGAATCTACCTCTTCCTCCTCCTCTTCTTCTACCTTCTTCTTACTAGTCTGTGCAGATGAGGCCTTAGGAGTCTTGGCTGCTCTACCATTTTCTTTGTGTGTCTTTGAACTCAAATATTATATAATTTTCTCCTTGGTAGCCTCAGGAACATTTTTAAAAGGGGCAACATCCCCCTTAATACCGACAGGTTATTTTTTAAACCGGTAAATGCCCCCATTAGTATCGTTTTCACAATAATTACATTTAATACGATTTTTATCACTTGGATTCGGGTTATAACCATACTTTCAACCCGGATCACCACTCCATCTAGAATCTGGAGAAGATACTTCCATACAACAAGGCTTATTTTCATTCTTTTCTGGTTCTTCAAAATTCAGAAGATGTATAATCTCATCCCGAACTGCTTCAGGAACCTTTGTACAAGAAGCAACATTACCTCTAACACCAGCAAGGTGTTTTTTGAATCAGCTAATACCCCCATTGGTATCCTTTTTACAAATTACACCTTCTATAATTTTTACCATTTAGATTTGGGTTGTACCCATACTTCCAACCCGGATCACTTTTTCTAGGAGTAGCAGAAATAGATCTATGATAAGGATTTTGTTCTTATTTTTGTTTTACATAATTTCTAAATTGCTTAACCTCATTTATGATAGCTTCAGGAACATTTTTACAAGGGGCAACATCCCCCTTAATACCGGCAAGATGTTTCTTAAACCGGTTTATACATTCTTTTGTATAATTTTCACAAAAATTGCATCAGATGCAATTTTTGTCATTCGAATTCGGGTTGTATCCATGTTTTGAACCCGGATCTCCACTTTGACTAACTCTTGAAAAAGACGTCTCAAAATAAAACATGCAATCTAAAAGTTGCACTTACTTTGGTTGCTCGAACTCCAAACTTTGAGAAACACTTCGATGATTCGATCCAATGAAATGCAGTTTTTTGGAGGTTTCTTTCTCTCTAAAAGGGTTTCTTGGGGATTTAGGTTTCAAATGAATCTAAAACCTATCTTTCTAAACTTTTATATATTAAAAAAATGAAAAAAAAAAAAAAAAAAACTTTACGCCTTTGGGCGGATGCAGGCAAGCCCAAGCCTTCTGGACAGCCTAGGCGCTGGGTGGTTCACTTTTTTGAACAATGAGTAAGGCATGCTCTGTTATGATATGTGTACATGATCATAATACATGTTTTGTTGTGACATGTGTGCACGATTTCTTAGACAAGGTATGTGATATTTTATAAGACTTATGTTGTAAGACCTATATGGTTAGCTATATGATATGTGATTTATTGACATGCTTTAAGCATATTGTATGGCCATGATGTGATATATGATTTATTGGCATGCTTTGAGCGTATTGCATGACCATGAGGTGATATGATAAGAAAGTGGTGCCGACTGCTATGATCTTTCCCTAACTGCCATGATAGGAAGGGAGTTAGGATATGATGGAAATTTGGGAGGGTCGCGCCTCCCAAAATCTATATTGGTGCTATGCATTGGGTCATCCTTTGGTAGTGTAACCCTCCCTCCAGAAGGGCATAAGGAGAGGGTTGTGTTTTGCAAGGCCATCGCCTATCAAAAACCCCAAAGTGCACTGGGGACTGTATGTGTGAAGACATTACGAAATGGGTCATCTATTTATCACTGTTTTCCCTCCTGAGTGATGGTAGAAGTCCTAAGCAATAGGATTGGCTTGGCCTGATGGATAGGACTTCTACTTCAGGAGTAGGCAATATTAGGATTATTTGTGTTTAATATATGTTGGCTTGATTTGGTTGACCTGTTAGGATGCTCATGATGAAAAGATTTGATAAACTGTTATTTCATATGATATCTGATATCTAATTTGTGATTGCTCCACCATGGAAGGAATTACTTACGATACATTGCTAAATATAATTGTGCTACATGACTCTATGTTTGATCCCTATATGAATCTTGAGTACATGGCACATTGATCTACTTACTGGGCTTATAACTCATTCTTTTAACTCTCATTTATGTAGAGTGATGCTTGCGGGTTGAGGACGGGCGGTTGGGTGAATGCGGCTGACAGTTGGAACCCCGTACTCCTGGTAGAAGCTTCTTTTGTTGTATGTTTTGGATGACAGTAGCCATATAGTTCTTGTTTGTATTAAGTCATGTAATGTTTTTGGGCCTTTGAGCCTTGGCCATATTTGTACCTTTGGATCTCTTTTATATTTATATGCAGTTCGGAACTTGGTGGTCCGATTTTATGTTTGTGGTTGTGTGATTGAGTTTTGTTTTTTTTTGTTTTTTCTTTCTTTCGTGGTTTTCATTGATTCATTTTTCTTAAAGCATTGAGCACACTCCCACCTGAGTGGCATTCGCTACCTTTGGTTGCGGTCCTGTACCTTGTTACCTTCTGGCAAGTACGGTAGTACGATAAGAGGCGGGGTTGTGACAATTTATGGTATCAGAGCAGCCAGAATAGGATTCTTGGCCTAAAAAGTTTTAGAAGTGTCATTAGAATGATTTTGGATAAGTTAGTAACAGGCGTCTGGGTGTTCCTGTTATAGGTCAAGATGACGAGGCCTCGTGTCAACAATTCGAGCTCGAGTAATGGGAACACGGAGGCTTTTGGTGAATTCTTTAGGACGCTCAGGGCCATGACTCAAATTATGAAGTGCATGCTGGCCCCAACTGCCCTTGCCCTAGACCAGGATAATAGTGGACTGATTGAGAGATTTAGGAGACTTGCGCCTCCAGCATTCTCGGGACATGGAAGAGTATAAAAGGTTGAAAGATGGAGGAGGCAAGTTGTCACAACCCCGCCTCCTGCCCCCTTGCCGTACTAACCGGACGGCAACAGGGTACAGAACCACGACCAAAGGTAGCGAATGCGGGAGTGTGCTCAAACGCTTTTGAAAAGAAGGAATAAAGCAAACCATGAAAAAAAACAAAACTCCAAACACAACCAGCAAAAGTTAGGCAAACTAAAATCAAATTATACGAGAGCTCCAAAATTATTACGAATATGTCTAAGGCATTAAAGACCCAACAATATATACATAACACCAAAACAAAACAACTATACAAAAAAGAAGCGTCCTCGTCAAGTTCGGGGCGCCAACCGTCAGTCGCGATCACTCAGCCGTCAGTCCTCGACCCGCGAGTTATCACTCTACATAAAGAAAGTCAAAGGAATGAGTTATGAAGCCCAACAAGTAGATCAAAGCGCCATGCATTTCTGCGTATACACCGTTATTCATAACCATCCCCAAGATTCATGTAGTTTTACAACATGGAGTCAAATATCACATATCTTTTTATTAGAAATGTGTCATGAGTAATTTCTTTCATGGTGGAGCAAGCACAAATAAGATATCAGATATCACATGAGCTAATAGTTTATCAAATCTTTCCATTATGAGCATCATAACATATCAACATAATTATAATTTGGCAAGTATAACAAGCATGAGAAAAATTAGCAAATATTAACCTACTCACTCCCTAAACACCTACTCCCGAAGTAGAAGCTCTATTCATCAGGCCAAGCAAATTCCATTACTTAAGACCTCTAATATCACTCAGGAGGGTAGACAATGACAAATAGATGACCCATTTTGTAATGCCTTCACACACACACAGTCCCTAGCGTGCTTTGGGGCTTTGGATAAGCGATAACCTTACAAGACACTACCCCTTACGCCCCCTTGGCTAGGAGTGTTACACCTTCTGGGTGCCAATCACTATGAATGGGGGAGCAACCACCCAAACATCATCTGCCACTACTCCCGTCCTATCATGGGGAGTGGGAAAGGTCACAAGTCAGGCAATGCAATACACTCAAAGTATGTCGAGAAGTCACATATCACCTCATGATCATGCAATACGCTCAAAGCATGCCAAGAGATCTCATAGTCAAGCCATGCAATATGCCCAAAGCAGGTCGAAAAGTTACATATCTCATCATGGTCATGCAATACGCTCAAAGCAGGCCAAAAAGTCATATATCACATATCTCATAGGTGACCACACAGGTCTTATCACATATCACATGTCACATAACTGACCACACAGGTCTTATCACATATCACATAACTGACCACACAGGTCTTATCACATAGCACATAACTGACCACACGTCTTATCACATATCACATAATTGACCACACAGGTCTTATCACATATCACATGTCACATAATTGTCTCAAAAAGCATGCACACATATCACAACAGAGCATGTATCATGATCATGTACACATATCATAACAGAACATGTCTTACTACATGCTTCTATATCATAACAGAGCATATGTCATTATCATGCTTTCATATCACAACAGGGCAGTCTTTCATATCATAATGGAATATACTTTCATTTCATAACAGAATATGCCCTTATTGTCATGCATTCATTTCATAACTGAGCATATCTTACTATATACATTCATATCATCACTGAGCATGTCTTTCTACGTGCATTCAAATCATAGCAAGGCATGCTTCCATATTATAACATAGTACAGCTTATTATCATAATAGAGCATGCACATGTCATACTATCATGCGCACATTTCTCATTAGTAACACATTTCCATGCTCACATAAAATATCAGCGTGCCATACATAAAATCATATTATCATGCTTATGAATTTGAAAGACATTATCATGGTGTATCATGCATATAAACCGACCACCAGGCTCATTAGCTCAAAAGATATCATCATACCATTTTTCTGGTCTTGCCACAGTGAATAGGGTCCACCTTTAGAAGCGTATCATGGGATTCAAAAATAATTTGGACCAGGGACCACTTTTATAACAATATAGACTCATTAAAACACAACTTTTGAGTAGGGAATGACCCTTAAATATCGGCCTAAAGCTTGACAAATTGTTGGTGATCTTGAGTGGAACTTCTGGCCTTTCACAGCAGAAAATACAGGATGATACCTTAATAGAAAATAGGACATAACTTTCAAACCACCAAGAATTTAATCATGCTTCCAAAACCATTTTCAAAATACATTCATACATCTTTCATTTAGAGTGATTTGGGCTCATTCTGACATATTTTGGTCAGTGAACAATGCTACACAAAACGTGTGATTGTTCTAGATAATTCAACAGAAAATCCAGTGTGGCATCCTTATAGAAAAACAAACATAACTTTCGAATCATAAAGAATTTGATCATGCTTCCAAGATTATTTTCAAAATAGATTCATACATCTTTCATTAGAAGTGGTTTGAGCTCATTTTGACATGTTTTGGTGAGTGAACAATGCTACACAAAACACATAGGGTTCTTGGAAATTCATTTCACACTTATGGCATACTTTAGAAATGACTGAAAATTTTCAAACCAAAAGTGGTATTCACATGAGGTCTTTTCCATCTTAAAATAGATTCAAAGGGGTACTTCCCTACAAAATTTCATGATCAACAAAGATATTTTCAGTGCTCAAACAGTTACTCAAATGGGAGTCACATTTATGGAAATAGAGTACACACTTAGCAGAATTTCAGCAACATATTTCCACACCCATTTTTACAATCACATTCATAATCACACTCAAATTTCATATTTTGACAAACTAACTTAGCATGCATCAACCAAGGTATGAAAACATGGAAGCTAGATCCACTTACTGCACTTAAATGAAGATCCAAAGTGCTCTGCATAGGTTCACTTCAATGCTAAGCTCCCAGGATGGGTTCAATCTTAAGTCTTAAGGCTAGAGAGGGAGGGCATGGGTGAGAGAGGGCAAGGAGAAGAGAGAGAGCAAAACGCCAGAGCGGGGTGTGAAGGTGGTATAAATAGGCAAAAACAACGGGGGTGGCAGCAAACACAATGACAAGTGGTACACAAGGTAGCATGCAAAGGACAAGTGGTGTACAAGGCAGCATGCAAACAAACTTAAGAGAGGTAAGAAGTTCCCCTGGACTGTCACACGCTCAGCAGCGGTGTGCGCAACCGTAGCGCACACGGAAACGCTCACGGTGGCATTGTGCACGACGATTTCACTCACGACAGCTTCCACATTCCTCTGCACTTAACTACATACTGATCCGCCAGTGCTCTCAAAAGTGTATGCATGCTAGCTCACTCGTGCGAACGACTCGTCGACACACTTCAATCACATCAGAAAAAGTCCGGGTCTTTACAACAGTAGTCAGTAGTAGCAACATATATTTACAACAATAGTACGTTAACAACGACATAGTTCTTATTTTTACAGACTCATAACCATTTGAGAAGAAGAAGAAGATGAGGAGGAAGACTCAGAGAGGTAGCATTCAAAGAGACTAGGAAGTATTTGAAGAAGCTTGAGAAAGAAGGAGAATTTGAGAGAACTCTATAACTCTAAGATTGTAAGACTCGATGCCTTTCAAACGAGGAGGTTTACCCCTTTTATAGGCGAAAGCTTCGGATTCCAAAATTTTTATTTGAAGTTCGAATAGTGTTTTGCACCGACATTTGAACAGTAAACGTAGGACACATCATTATTTTGCTACAGTGACGAGCATATTTGAATAGTGAAAGTAAGACGCGTCATCATGTTGCTACAGTGACGGGTATCTTTTGTCTCGTCTACTACAGTGAAATGTCGCATATGCTATAGTGCTGCTAAAGTGCCTTTGTCTGTGGAAAGTGACGTTATGGCTTACATCACTTTCTTGATGGTGATGATCAGTGTAAGGCTCGTGTGCTGGGTGTGGGTGTAGCCGTGTGCTGAGCGTGGCTTACATCACTTTCTTCCATCATATTTTTTAAGTTTGCTCTTCCGACTGAATCTAGGTTGTCGGAACTGACTGGTGATGGATTTTCTAGCTGTTGTAGCCATATATCCAAACATTAAGAAATTTCAAGGTTTGGGATTCAAGATTTAATAAGTCTTGCTGGCTATTTGAGTAGGGAAACTGGATAGTAATCTTCCACCATCAAGACCTCCTAAATCAGGAGGACCTGATCGAAAAGGCAAACGTCCCCTAAAACAGGAGACTCGATACAAAACACCAAGCTTTTATGCCCATTCTCAATGCTCTCAAACTCAATCTCCTGAAGTTCTCTCCTATAAACAAATAGTAGAGCTTCAAAATCAAATAGAACAAAATTTTTCAGAAGTTAAAGTTGTTTCCCATTTCTATAGAAACCCTGCTATTCCTTCTCATATGTATGAAGAATTAGGTAATGTGTGGAAACAACACATATTAAATAACAAGGCATAATTTAGGAAACATATGAGCAGCCTTTCTGAACTCATTGC